GGGGGGGGGGCCCCCCCCCCCCCCCCACGCGCCCCTCTGTCCTTACTTCCAGGAACCCCGGCTGCCCCTCCCCGCAATCCGCCCTGAGCGCGCACGTCTCTCCGGGCCGCGTGGGGCTTTCTGCCCCCTTCATCCCCTCCCGTTGCTCTTTCCCAAGGAGCTGGACGCCATGTGCTTCTGCAACACCTGCAACCAGCCGCTGTGCGCCAAGTGCCGCGAGGAGACCCACAAGGCGCGGATGTTCGCCCGCCACGAGATCGTCTCGCTGAGCAAACGCGCGAAGGAGGTCCACAAGAAATGCTGTACGTCGCCCGGGCCGCGTTCGCACGGACGTCCCCCAAACCCTAACCCTCACTGCCAAACTCACCCAGCTCGGCAGTGAAACACAGCGGGAAAGCCCAACCGGGTCCTCAACGGGGTGCCCAGGGGCGCCATGAACCACCCTACTGCTCTTGCATCCATCCAACTCAGATACTTTTTAAAATTCTGGAAGAGAGCTTGTCAGGCACGGGTGTCCGCAGGCATGGCCCCAAAAGTGTCCCCAGGAGGCCTGCTTTTTTTAAGTTGCCATCTTGACTTTTTTGGCCGCATCCTGCAGACACCCCAATGTCAGAATAGCGTTCCAGAATAACGTTGGGCAGGATCAAGGGAGACAAAACCCCGGCCTCGTTCCCCTGAGCACGTCCCAATTTCTGGCTCACCACTGCGAAAAGGAGCCCCGACAGCCTGTTTTGCACCCTCCGAATGACTAAATTGACGAAGTGAACAGAGAAAAGCCTGCGGGTCCAAAAACTCATCCTCACCCTGGGCAAATCGTTCAGGGCGCTTGCGCACTTTTGCACGTGCTTCCGACCCAGCTGAGCATTTCTCGCACGAAAAAAACGTGCCCCTTTTTGTTCGCAGATCTCCAAACACGGGCCCTTCTGCGTGCTAACAAACGCGTATAATTTCAGAAGCATACATGAAAATGCTCTGCGTACCTATGACCAAGTAAATCTTGGTTCTGCTTTTAATGCGCGGGGCTAAATTCGGCTTGCACACCCAGCGCAGACATTGCGCACACGCATCTGAGTTCTAGTTTAACTCCCTTTTGCAAATGTTGCTTGCACACCCCATACACACAACATAGAAATGAATCCGTGTCCTCGGTTTTGTTCGGTTCTCTGCATTTTGCTTGGGCTTCCTCTGTGTACGATTTGCAAATTGAATCTGAGTTCTCAGTTGAAATGAGAATTCAGACCATCGGAATAGGAAGCCTGAAGCCAATCTCTTCGAACGCTCCCATTTTTCAACACAATTCTGGGGCCACAGGCCAGAATGATAAAACCCGCTTTGTCTTCTGTCTTTCCCAGCCCTTCATGAAGAACTTTACATCATGTTCTCGACAGAGAAAAAGTCCATGCTGTGTATTAACTGTTTTCGGGATATGCCTGTGTAAGTTGGCCATTTGCAAAAGTGAGTGCTGTCATTTTACAGGAGAGGCAGCTGAGAATATAAATATAAATATAGATATATTAATAGGGGGTTACGTTATGCAAGCAGTGCCTTGACACGTGTCTACTTAGCCAGTGAAACTTCCTGCCACAGGATATTCACATTTAAAAATTGGTTGAAGCTGGTTGGCAACCAGCTAGCAGCAAAAAACCCCCCCAAAAACCTGAAAAACTTTTAAAAGCCCACAAAACCTTTTTTTTTCTCCTCTCCAGGGAGAGCAGAGCTCACTGCATCGATATTGAGACAGCATACCTGCGAGGCTGTGAGAAATTAGACCAAGCCGTGATGGTGAGTACAACGGATCAGAAATGCCCCCGTTCCCCCAAATGGCTTTTATTCCCCAACTTCCTTCCTGCATTTCTGGAATTTTACAGCACTGTAACTCTTGATTTTTCCCACCGTTTTTTCCCCCTAGTGTTGTTCTGGCCAGGAAAGATGCGTAGAAAGATGGTGGTGGTGGTGGGGGACTGGAAGAGGGCTTGAATCGTAGCATGAGTGGGTTGGAAGGAAACTTGCTGTTGGGGCATATTGACTCCAGGCGTGTATTTTTTGAGGCACAGGATTTTGATGGCTTGAGTCAAACGGGCTGTGGATTTTTCCATGTATCTTCCAAAATACCAAGAGTCGCTTTTGATTGCAGTGGGATATCAATTATTATTATTCCTGCCCAATGCAGGAATCTAAATCAAAGGATAAGATCACAGAATCAAAGGGGTGGGAGTCACCTGAAGACTATCGAGTCCAACCTCTGCCCACTGCAGGAATGCTATATGACAATATAACACCAGGAGCACCCTTGGAAAAGAGATTGAATATCTTAGTCCTCCCTCCCTCCCTCCCTCTTTTCTTTTATCATTTCCTTCCTTCCTTCCTTCCTTCCTTCCTTCCTTCCTTCCTTCCTTCCTTCCTTCCTTCCTTCC